AAACATATCTGATCCACAAAGAAAGCCAAGTCTTTAACACAGTTACATAGAGAGCTGTACATACTGTGTCAATAAATGCACCATTCCCCTTGTATCTCAGCAATGACAAGGGCTAAGGACTTTTAAAAATTTAAAGCTGAACATTCAGAGAATTGGCAGTTTATGGCAAAAAGATCATTGTAGCACAACACCAATTACCTTACCAAAACCCTTAAAAAGCACAGTGGAGGAAAGTGTAGGGAAAATGGCACTTGATAGAATAAACAAAACTCCCATGTGGATGCTCTATTGCCAGTACCAATACCTCTGCATTTGCAATAGCAATAATAGGGAAATAGAATAATATGGAAACAGGTGCAGCCTTTCTTATTTTGGCTGCAGTTGGCTAGCACAGCTATACTTCTGGTATATTGTTGTGGCCACCATAACATACAGAAACCTCAGTTTGGCACAGACCAGGGAGAACAAATTGTATGGTTTGCACTAATAATCAAAAAGTACCCCCCCCCCTCTTTTAGGTTTTCTTTAAAAGTAAAGTTAACAAGCTGATCCCCAGGCGGTGAAAGCATCTGTAGCAGTCCAAAGATTTCCCCAGCCATCCAGCCCACTTCACTTCAGCCTTGATGCAGGGTTCTTGTGACCAGGCTTCTAGGCTTGTGCTGTGCTCCCATGAAACTCTTGCATCACAACAGCAGGCAGGTCATTCACATGGAATGCTGAGACATCACCAGGAGAGGTACATAAGAGAACCTAGCAGCCACCAGAACTCATCACCCCACATTTTCCTACAGTTCATACCACAAACTTGCCACGGTCTTGTCTGGAGACTATAATGAGTCTGTATGTTCTGAACACTCCAAGAATAAATATTTTTCTCCGTTAATAGATAAATTCCTCCCCAGTAATGTGGTTAAACTAGCATCACGGGCGTCTACATCACAAAACATATTTAGTAAGCACTGGGGAGGATATTGCCAAATCAGATGTTTTGCTGCTGCAAGGCCCCATCCTTTTTACTGCTTCCTACCCAACACCCCCTCCCCATGACTTCAGCAGCATGGGCACAACCCATGTGTCACCACCTTGACACTAGACAGTGCCTTCTTGCCAATGCCACCCCCTTGGGCAGTGCAGTGCAGACATGTGCGCTGCATACTTCCCTCCCCGGTCACCCATGACTTAGATTCAGGCAGCTTAGGTCTGGGAACAATATCTCTCTCTCCCAATTGCCCATTCTGCCACCTTGGATCTGGGAAGCCCATACCCCATCATCTATACTACTGCTTTGGATCCCCAAGCACATGCAGCAGTGGCTCTGGGAAGCATGTGCAGCCTCCCTCAGTCACCAATGGCTTGGGTCAGGGAGGCTCATGTCTCTCCTCCCCCCCCCCACCAAATCAACCACACTGTTGTGGGCAGTGAGACAGTACCTGGATTTCACAGCCTTGGATACGGGCAGTGAAGGATCGGATCTGGAATGCACATGCCTCTCTGCTGTCACCCATGCTGCCGCCTTGGTTGACCTCCATCCCAGTCACCCATGCAGATGACAACAGGGGCAAGTCAACTCCGGAGGGAAGGCGGGTGGAGCTCAGCATCTTGGATCCAGTCCTAGCACCCTGGGCTGATTTAGTACACCAAGTGGCTGCTTCAGTAACTTCAGCATCCCAGAACCAAGATTAACAATCCTTCAGCACCTGCACTGTTCTGTGTATGCTGCTCTTGTTTAACATGTTAATTCTTTGGAGACTGTTTGCTTCCCTCCTCTATAAATCCAGCTCTGAAGTGTCTATGCAACAGTCATTTTAATGGAGGAGGCAGCCGTAGCCACAAGGATTCCCACTGCTACCATTTTCATGGTTCAGGAGCTATATACTCTCCTGTTCTGAAGTCCCCATTTAAGGATTAAATGATGGCTTGGCGTGAGACAGCATAGCTATCCTCTTCCTCTGGCAGCATCATGAAAAGGCTGCTGCAGGCTTGGGCAGCTTGCGTGGAAAGAGGTCCAGCAAAAACTGTTCGTTATTCAAGTGAGAAATCTGAAGCAATGCTAAGTCCCAGTAACTTTAAAGGCTGCTCCCAAAGAAAACATAGATGTCAACGTGGTTCTCCTCTGGCTCCTTTTCTGATAAGCACAATAGAAGACTCCTTATCTGCAGCATGCACACCCAAATCCATTTCCTGTATCCATTTCCTAGGGGGAAAAACCCTTGTGAAATCTCAGATTTGGAGTCTCCTCCCCTCCGCACGGACGTGTGCGCACACACACACACAAAAAGTTGTGTTCAAATGTTGACCCGTTATTAAAGACTTAATTACTGAACTGATGGTTGAAGAAAACAGAGCGTTTGGGGATTGTTCCATTTATTTTTACATACATACAAGAACAGAACATAATTTTTCAGATCTTTATGGCATGCTTTCCCAAGTGCTGTTCTACCACAGTCTTTTCTTCTTTCATTAATGGTGGAAGGTTTGAGGATCAAAGCCTTCTGAAACCACAAACTACATAGTCTGTAGTTTAACAACCCCAGCCACCAAGTCAGTGCTTACAGTTGGAAACACACTATGCCAGGGGTGGCCAAACTGTGGCTCAGGAGCCACATGCGGCTCTTGTATACATATTGTGCGGCTCCTGGCAGGGCAGCTGGGGAAGTGAAGGGGGAGGTGGGCCTCCCCAATCGGTCTTCCCTTCCCCAGTAAATGATCCCCTCCCTGGGTAGGCTTGAGGTGGGGGGGGGAGCAGAGGAAGAAAGCAACTTTAAATATATTCTCATTCTCTCTCTCTCTTTCTCTGAGACAAAGAAGTATCATTAGCAGACAAATAAATATCACTGTACAAATAAACATCATTATCGATATTATCAGTTACCCCTTTTGTTTTAATTTTTGTCAGTCTCGTCTAATGTTAATAAAATGCAAATCTGCATATTTTTCAATAAAAATGTGTGTGTAATATTTGTTCAGGTCTTGTGGCTCTCAAACATCTGACGTTCATTCTATGTGGCTCTTATGTTAAGCAAGTCTGGCCACCCCTGCACTATGCACATGATGTATAGATTTGTGCCTAGGGCAGAGACTGGTTTCCTGACTTTAAGACTAGGCAATAATAAGCCCAGCCCTCTTTCCTCAACTCTTGGGTCTCCTCAAGTCCACCAACACAACAACATAAGTGGCTGGATCTTAACCTGTTTAGGGACACATGCACAGCCTGATTCAGTGCATGTTTACTCAGAATTAAGCCACACCAGTTTTGTCAAGACTTATGCCTAAAGAAGTGTGAAGGTAGTCTTACCATGCAATCCTAGGTACATTCACCGCTGAATTCAGTGGTGCTTACTCCCAGATAAAGTAATCATGGGATTTAATCTTTTCTTTTAGCCAACATAGAAGTTACATTGAAAGATGGAACATGAGCACTTTCACCAAGCAGAAAACCATTTTTATTTTGTACTCTTACATAATTTTAGAACACACCTACATGACTTCATGCAGAAACTTTTATTGGTTACCTAGGGTGGGTCTCAACAGTGCAGTCTTAAACAGAGTAACATCTTTCTACATTGACGGAAGGCAATAGATTGCAAGTCTGTTTAGGATTGCCCTGCAAATGCAATGCAAACACATCACAACTGACACAGACAGCTCTACATCTAGATTAGCTCCCCATCAACCCTAAAACATAACATTCTGAAGTATAAAAACAAATCCATTAGGGGAGAAGACAGTGACTTAAACCACATAATGCTTTTCAGTTTATTTTTAAACAACAGGATCAGTCTTATGCATAACATATTTTACAACTGCAAATTAAGTTGCCAAAACGCAAGATTCTTTCAAAGCACTTAAAATATCACTGGGTCTTAAATAGTTACATTTTAATTTATTTACTTAGCGTATTTCTATCATGCCAATGTATCCTGCCAACCTAGCAGTTCGAAAGCAAGACATTGCAAGTAGATAAATAGGTACCACTTCGGTGGGAAGGTAACAGCGTTCCGTGCGCCTTGGTGTTTAGTCATGCTGGCCACATGACCACGGAAACGTCTTCGGACAGCGCTGGCTCTTCGGCTTGGAAACGGAGATGAGCACCGCAACCCTAGAGTCGGACTCGACTGGCTTTCGAGCAAGGGAACCTTTACCTTTACCTATCATGCCAATGTAATAATCACACCTGACTCCCAGGGCACCTACATCCTGGCCTTCAGGTAATTTGCAAATCCTGACTAGTTTAGCATTGACAGAAGCATCACATCAGGATACGCAGGTAATGTGATCTGTATTCATGTGCCTCACAACATAAAAGGAACATGATATCATTGTTAATTATAGTTTTTAAAGTGATGTAATTGTAGAAACTTTACAGACGAATCCGAAATGCAGTTCTTTTGCAGTAGTAATTTATTAAAACCAAGTGAGGTGAAACCTGCCAGATTCCTAGTGGGGGTAAGGGTCACAGTATTATACAAGCAGGAAACAAGGGCTGTAAACAGAGAGAGAGAGAGACAGCCCAAGGGAACTGATACTGTAAAAATAATGGAGTCTTCTTCTGGGGACTATGGGGGGAAAGAACAGGCAAGGCAAGAGCCCTTTTTTGAAAGAGAAAAGATGTTCATGTAATGCCGTGACTAAATGTTATGTTCACAAACATTAGAGACGAGCTTTGGGTATATGCATGGGGAAGCTGTTTCCAAAAGAACTTCCAAGTTTACATACATGGACTGAAAAATCCATACACACACTCATGGCACATGATCAACTCAGATAGATTTACTTGATTTTCCACATTCTTTTACAAACTAGGCAGTTCTTTTTCCCGTTCTACTTCACACAGAGTCATTTAGCAGCTGAGAAATGTCCCAAAACTGGACAACTGGGGTAAACTCTGACGAGAGAGACATTCTCCACACACTCGGAAACGCAGGGCTAAGCGTTTTGACACTGAAGGTAAGTCTGGAGTGCAACTTTCCAGTCCCCAAACTGTCAACATCTGAACTCACCCCGTTTGTCTCTGGTGCCGTGTTTCTTGGCCAACGCCAGCTCCTTCCCGATCCTGGCTTCCAGATACTCCTGTTTCTTGGTAAGCATCTCCTCTGTCTCCCGCAGACGGGCTAAGGCCTCCTGGGGAGTGGGGCCCCCCTTGCCTTTGCCCTTGGAGTAGCCGGAGCCCCCTCCGCCTTTGAAAAGCTTGTGGATCTTACTCATCTTTGCCCTTGTCGAGAATCCAGTCCCTGCCAGAGATCGAGCCCGCGCTGCAACAGTGAAGAGAAAGCAATCCGCCTGGTTCGCCCCTAAACTCTCTCCCGGGGCTCAACAAAACGCCAGGAGCGGCGTCGGCTGTATTTCCTCGCTCCGTCCGACGGCGGCGGCTGAGAAACTCCAAGAGGGAAGGAAGCAGTTGTTCCCGAGGCGGATGACCGAGTCACGTGACCGACACGCACCTGCCACAGGTGTTGCTACCTGCGGAATGTGCCCTGCCCCCGCCGGTCACAGCTGCCCCGGGAGTGCACTCTGCACATGCCCAAAGGCATTCTCTTTCTATCCTGCCTTTCTGTGTCTTCGAGAATAAAGCAAAGTCAAAATAAGTAGGTAGAACAATACAATTGATTCATGAGTGCTTCTCTTGGAGAGTTACACACTGGGAGAGTAAGTTTTTAAAGTTGTCTGGAAATCACAGCCCCGGTTGGAACCACCAGGTTGCCAACCTGCAGATGGAGACTATTTAAAACTACAATCCTAGAAGCTCAGGAAAAATATATCCTACCACAGGTTAGGAAAGGCACAAATAGGTATAGAAAAAAGCCTGCATGGTTAACAAACAAAGTAATGGAAGCTGTAAAAGGTAAGAAGGATTCCTTTAAGCAGTGGAAAGCTAGTCTCAGGCCCCGTCACGGGCCGGACATCGCAGGGGGGGGAGGCGTGGCTAATTGCCCAAGAGGAAACTAACGCGCGGCCGCCCGAGCACACGTCCCGTGGTTAGGGGGGAGATGCCGACCAGATGAGTATCCTGCAGCGTGGCACAGAAGCCACGCCGCGCGATCGCACTAGCAATCGCTCTTTGTGCGCATGCGCTGTTGGGTGCTGTAGCGCAACCTGCGGAGACGGGCGCCGGATGCCACGTAAGTCCACTGGAAACACGATCAGACGCCCGCCCTTGGCCCACAGTTTCCGGAAACTAGTACCTTGTAAGTACTAGTTTTTAAATCCGCACCTTCGGCGGGGAGCCACGGGTTTGCCACGGGAGCACTGCGCTTCCCAGATGTTGGGGTGTGATCGCGCCCAGAAAATCCACGGGACTCCCGTGCCTCTCCCGCGGCAACTTTGCCGTGTGACCGGGGCCTCAGTGAGGCTGATAAAAGGGAACACAGGCTGTGGCAAATAAAATGCAAGTCTGTGATCAGGTAGGCAAAAAGGGAATATGAGGAGCATATAGCAAAACACATAAAGACCAACAATAAAACTTTCTTCAAATACATTAGAAGCAGGAAACCAACTAGTGGGGCAGTGGGGCCCTTGGATGACCAAGGGGTAAAAGGAGTACTGAAGGATGACAGGGAAATGGCTGAGAAGCTGAATGCATTTTTTGCCTCTGTGTTCACTGCGAAAGATGCGAAGTGCTTGCCCACTCCAGAACCACTGATTTCGGGAGGGGTGTTGAAAGACCTGAGTCAGATTGAGGTGACGAGAGAGGAGGTCCTACTTAAAAACTGATAAATCACGAGGCTCGGATGGCATACATCCAAGAATTCTGAAAGAACTCAAATGTGAACTTGTGAATCTCCAGACAAAAATATGTAATCTTTCATTAAAATCTGCCTCTATTCCTGAGGACTGGAAGGTAGCTAAAGTCACTCCCATCTTTAAAAAGGGTTCCAGAGGAAATTACAGGCTAGTCAGTCTGACGTCAATACTGGGTAAATTGGTGGAAACTGTTATTAAGGAAAGAATTGGTAGGCACATAAATGAACAAAACCTATTGAGGCAGACTCAGCATGGGTTCTGTAAGGGAAGATCTTGTCTCACTAACCTGTTAGTCTTCTTTGAGGGGGTGAACAAACATGTGGACAAGGGGGACGCAAAATATGTTGTTTACCTTGACCTCCAGAAAGCTTTTGATAAAATTCCTCATTAAAGTCTCCTAAGTAAGCTCAATAGTCACGTGATAAAAGGACAAGTCTTTTTGTGGATCAAAATGGCTAATTAATAGGAAACAGATAGTGAGTATAAATGGGCAATTTTCTCAGTGGAGGGTGGTAAGCAGTGGGGTACCACAGGGATCAGTACTGGATCCGATGCTTTTTAACTTGTTTATTAATGATTTGGAGTTGGGAGTAAGCAGTGAAGTGGCTAAATTTGCGGATGATACGAAGTTGTTCAGGGTGGTGAAAAAAAGTGAGGATTGTGAGGCACTCTAAAGGGATTTGTCAAGGATGGGCAAGTGGGCATCAACATGGCAAATAGGGTTCAATGTGGCCAAGTGCAAAGTGATGCACACTGGAGCCAAAAATCCTCACTATAAATACACGTTTATGGGGTCAGAACTGGCAGAGACTGAACATGTCACTGAACATGTCAAGACAGTGTGCGACTGCAATAAAAAAGGCCAATGCTATGCTGGGGATTAGTGGGAAGGGAATTGAAAACAAATCAGCCAGTATCACAGTGCCCATGTATAAATCAATGGTGCAACCTCATTTGGAGTACTGTGTACAGTTCTGGTCACCACACCTCAAAAAGGATATTATAGCATTGGGAAAAGTGCAGAAAAAGGCAACTAGGATGATAAAAGGGGACGGGTAGAACACTTTCCCTATGAAGAAAGGTTAAAGTGCTTGGGGCTCTTTAGCTTGGAGAAACGACGACTGAGGGGAGACATGATTGAGGTTTATAAGATTATGCATGGGATAGAGCAGGTAGAGAAAGGTACTTTTCTCCCTTTCTCACAATACAAGAACTCGTGGGCACTCCATGAAATTGCTGAGCGGTCGGGTTAGAACAGATAAAAGAAGTACTTCTTCACAGGAGGTGGTGGCAGCTACAATCGTGGACAGCTTCAAGAGGGAATTAGATAAACATATGGAGCAGACATCCATCAGTGGCTATTGGCCGCAAGGTATAGATAGGAACTCTGGGGCAAGTGATACTCTGTATTTTTGGCGCTTGGGGGTGCTTGGGGGGGGGCAACAGTGGGAGGGCTTCTAGTGTCTTGCCCCCACTGCTGGACCTCCGGATAGCATGTGGTATTTTTGGCCACTGTGTAACAGTGTTGGACTTGATGGACCATTGGCCTGATCCACCATTGGCTTCTCTTATGTTCTTATGACCTGGGGGTCTCCTGGAATTGCAACTAACCTCCAGACTACAGAAATCAGCTCCCCTGGAGAAAATGGCTGCTTTGGAGAATGAACTCTGTGACACTGTACCCTGCAGAGCTCCCTCCCCTCCCCATCTCAAGCTCCTCCCTCCCCAGGTTCCTGGAGCTGGCAACCCTAACCAATGTTCCCTCTAAGCTGCGGAGTCTTGTGAGCAAAAATTCTACTTTGTGAGCCGCTGGCATTAAAGTTGTGAGTGAGGAATTTGGATACTGCATAAATCAGTTTGCTCTGGAGCCATCCTTCCTGAGCTAAGACAAAAATGTGTGAGCTGGAGGCTAAAAAACTGTGAGCTAGCTCACACTAACTCAGTTTAGAGGGAACACTGACCCTAACCCTCTTACATACCTTGTGAAGCCCATAGTTGTTGGGGTCACAAAATATAGACAATCCAGACCCTCCCTCCTCTTAAAATGAAGACAGCTGTTTCTAAACGATACTCTGTGCAGACCCCAAGGTGATGTCTCCTGGGTTTTTTCTGGCATACCACCTGCTCCACGGAGGTGAAGGAAAGCTGGGGTTGGCCTGACCTGGTGAGCATTAAGGGCTTTCACTAAACGATTTGATGTTTCTTGAATGGGGAATTTGCCTACAGACAAAGGGAGTTAGTGTATTTAAACAAATTACCTCTCAAAGCTGCCTACTGAGTTCACAGCAGCGGTGGAATTCAAACTGTGAACTTGGCCTACTGTAGCACACATATGTCTCACACTGTTAGGAGACCTGTAGTGGTTTTGTTTTGATGGGAGTATGACCTTTCCCACCTGCTTTAGCCCATGTTATACATTTTTAGGGCTGCAGTCCCAAGCACATTTACCTAAAACAGGTGTCCCCAGCCCTTTTGAGCCTGTGGGCACTTGGGTACAGCCACAAAATGGCTGCTGCAGGAGGCAAAGCCAGCCACAAAAAGGCTGTTGTGGCTTATCTTCACATAGTCAAGATCCTTGTGTTGTAATGGCAGCTGCTGCCAAGGCAATGTTTTTTTTAAAATCCGCACAGTCAATCAAATTTCCAGTAGCAATCGGAAACCTCAAGTGGTAGGGTTGCCAGGCCAGGTTGGGAAGTATTTGGAGATTTGGGGAGGGTTCAGGGAGGGGAAAGATTTCAAGGGGGTATAATGCCATAGAGTTCTCGATGCTTGAAAAAAGCAAAGAACATTCTGCAGGATTTGTCACACCCTGAACACTCCTTGTTTGAACTGCTGCCTTCGGGTAGAAGATATAGGACAATTAAAACAAGGACAAACAGATTAAAAAACAGTTTTTATTCGAGAGCTATTATTGCTTTAAATGCTGCATGAAGTTGGAATTTGGGTGACATTGGTGGTTTAGGTTGCAATGTAAACCTTAAGGGAGTTATGGGATGGATGTGAATGGTTGTGTGAGTGTATATGTGTATGGCTGTAGATCACTGAAATGATTGCACCTTTAATTTCGTTGTACTGTGTACAATGACAATAAAGTATATTATTATTATTATTATTATTAATATTGGCCATTTCCAGCTCTCCCACTGGCTGGGCAGTGTGGTTCCGACAGTCATTGGGCTGCCAGCCACCCCTATTCCCTGCCCACTCCCAATTCACCCACTGTTGCCTGTCAGAATCACTGGCACACATCTCGCTCTCCCTTGACAAAGACACTTCTCCTGCTTCGCTTCTCCGTGGAAGTAACTTTTCTCTCAGTGGCTGATGGTAGACAACCTGGCTTGGTTCACTGTAACCCCCTCCCCTGCCCACTGCCCTCTTGCCCACTTTCGTGTCAGAATACACTGAAAACGGCTCTCCCTCCTGCTTCCAAGGTTGGGGAGACCATGGCCATCAAACCATATTATTATTATTATTATTATTATTGCATTTTGATCGCTGTTGCCTGGGGATCTGTTATCATAGTGCGAGATGTCCAACCACCACCTGGAGGTTGGCAACCCTATTCACTGGTCAAAAGCATCACCTGGCCTCACCCACTTTCTAAAAGCACTTAGCGGGCACCACAGTGGGGACCCCTGACCCAGAAGAAAGGCCTGCTAACTCAATGAGAGTAAAAACGTCTAAGATCAGGCATTTATAGCATACAGAAGGAAAGCTAAGCAGAAGGAGACTAGCCAGCAGAGCCCACGCCTTCGCAAGGACTTTTGTGAAATTCTGACACCCAAGCCCCGCCTCTTGAGATGACGCAGAGCTGCAGTCCGTGGGGCAACTCTATTCTGTATGCAGTCTCCCAGTGTCCCGGCATACCCGAACAGGAAGAGTTGAAACAGTGGCACGCACATGCGCATTATGCAAACATGGCGGAATTGGAGATTGGGCAGCACTGCGAGGTAGAACACTGCCAGCAGCTGGGTAAGAGGGTCCGGAGGCATGGACTGTAGACCCTCTGCGAAAGAAAGAGCAGGGCAACCGGCAAAAACGTGTTACGCAGAAGTGGAAGGGCGAGACGCTTGAGAAAAGGGGTGGTGCCTCTCGGCAGTTCCCAAGTGCTTATGGTGCTTCGGTACCCATTGACCTTCCGGTTCTCTTTTGAATGCGGGGTTGTCAGCGCTGAAGGCGTAAGACGCGGTGCCGTAGAGATTGGGGAATAGAGCGGCGTTCTGTCTGATTTGAGGCACTTGCCCTGCGTGTAGGTTGGCGTTCAAATAGAAACCTTCTTAACTGCTCTTAAATGACTGATTCCTAAACAGGAGGAGGCTATACGCATTTAAGGGCGTGGCTTCTCGGGAAGCGGGCGTGAATTTTGCCTGCTAGCCATTGCCTGGTTTCTCTAGTCTCTAGTTTGTCCAGGTTTCCGTTGTAACTGTAGGCAATCATCCTGTGACTAACATGGAAAGGCGAGAGAAGCGTCAGAACTCACGGCTGCTTGGTCACGTTTGTAGGAGGAAATAGTGTTTGCTCAGTAATAAGATTAAAATGAGATGGTTCGCTTTACAGTCATTCTTTAAGGCAGAGTAGAGTACGCTATAGTAGACGAGCGAGTGAAAGACACACTGTATGTGCATACATACAGGCGCTCTATTTTATAATTACTTTTATGACTTAGACCGTGAAGTTCTTGGTGAACAGAAGTCAGACTAGGATTGGGGCGACTCAGATTTAATTTGTCATTCACCTGTTTTTGGGATAACCTTCCTTACAGGCTTGTTGTGAGGAACTGGGAAGAACCACATGCACCTAAGACAAGGGCAGCATAAGCACAGGGTTGATCGATAGTGCTGCACTGGCAAGGCGGGATATAAATTGAAAGTAATAAATAAATAAATAGAAACTGTTTCTGATGCCGGGCACAACCTAGGCAGATGGACACAGAAGCTCTCTTCCACTTTCTATGTACCACTGCTGAGAGGTCCAAGGGTTACTTAGGCATCAGTTTCTGCTACTCAGATACTTGCATGTGAAGCAGTGGGCTGTAGTCTAAGAAAGCTAGGCTGCAATAGACTAATACAGCTAGTCCTCTGGCATCAAATACTTGATGTAATCATGTAACTGCTGCCAAATTGCACTGCTCACAGTTGTACTACTTAACTCTCATACCAAAAGGAGCTAATTTTGGCAAGCTTATAACAAAGCTAAATCTGTATGCTGCAGTTATAACGTGTTTCCCTTTGGGCTAAACAATACACAAGACCCTATGCTTAAGGTCAGAACTCCGAACTGTCAGGAGACTCAAAGGAAATCTAATCTGGAGTAATGGTCTACATTTCTGTTAGCTATTCATAGTTAATTCATTGTTCCATGTTCTCTTAAATGTCAAATCTCTTACCTTTCCCTGTGTTATGTATTCATGAATGTTGGCAGGGAGAGACCAGCTCGAACAATAATCAGTGCTGGATGCTGATGTTAAATCCATTTGATGGATTGCTATTACTATTGCAGGAGTAGGGTTCTTTGGTTTTAACTATGGTTATTTTTTATAAAGGTTGACTTTGCAAAATGGAGCTTTTTGTGTTGCCATTTTCACAATCTTAAGTCTTACTCATTAAGGGCACAGTTTCTGCTTATACAATGGAACATGTGCTGATGGAAAGTACCTCCACACTCACTTTCCCCCAGTAATCTGTTGTGTGCTTTGAAACTCTGCTCATAGGTAGACTTCCTGGAACATCATGGACAGAACCTGGGAGTGTCCTTTAGGAAGGAAAGTGGCAGAAATCTTGCAAGGGTAATAAGGCACAGTATTCAGTATCAGAGATAACCGTATTGGAACATCTTTGCTAGCATTACATTCAGGGTGTGTTCCATAAACTTACTTATTGAGATATTTATACCCCAGTTTTTCCACAAATGAAGGCAGCTTACAGATTCAGATCTAAAACTTAAAGAATGCATTAACACCCCACATAACCCCCTCTTGGCTCCTATAATAATTTCACTCAGCCCATCTTTGCATATGCTGTGCAAACTCGTTTTCTTGTAAGATTCACTGAATCAGTGGGACTAACCGTGCAGTAAAGGTGCACATTGTATTGTTCAAAAATCATGAAAGTGGGTAAGAATCAGCACCTTCTTTGAGAGGAGAGAGGGGATTTCTGTGAGAACCAGATGATGGCTGAAAGCTGAGGTTTTTGTTGCAATTGAAGAAATGTGTTTACAAAGATAAAAGAAGCATTTGGCAAATTACACCAGTAAGAGTTGGCAGCATGGGTTGATTGTCTTGCTTCATTGTAGATTTAGTAAATAAGGCTTCACTGAAAGATCTAGGTTTTGTAAGTGCTGTGATTTGGCCTCTTGAAATGTACACTGATACAGCTAAAAATTGTCATCGTTTTCATTTCAGATTTTCTACCTTTTGTGTGTGATGGCTGCTCCCGAGTTTTCTGGTATGAAGAAATTAAATAATATTATTTATGAACTGTGGTCAGTTTTCTTGGAGCTTAATAGTAATATAACTCAAAACTTTGTCACAGCCCTGAGGAATTTAAAACCAGTGAGTTCAGAGATGAGAGGTGGCTGAGGGAGTGTTGGAGGCAAGACAGAAGCAACCAACAGAGAAATGCAAGCTTTGGGACAGGAAAATATTTGTTGCAAATAAGCATTTTTCGTGGAGTGGGGTATACCAATCAGCACAACTTCATTTTGAAAGTACCAAGTCTCTCCCAGTAGTTTTGGTGTGATGTAGTGGTTAGACCATCAGTTCCCAACATGACACCATGGTGTCCATCAGTGTTTTGTGGTACCGACTTACTTCTCCCCCAAAGCAAAGAGCAAGCCATGGCTTTCCTCTACTTGATTGGAATAAAAAGTCCTTCAGAAGACCTAGGAGGTGCCGTGAGTCTACAAGGAGCACCCATTTGGAAACAGCTGCCCAACATTTTGTGGCTGCCTTCTCCACAGCAACCATTTTGTGTTTCAGCCTACCTGCCATAACAGTCATTTTGTGGCTGATCCCGCTAGCCTCCCTTAAAATTCCAAATGTGACCAAAGGCTCAACAGGTTTGGTGATCCAGATCAGAGTGTTGCACTCAGATCAGGAAGACATTCTTCAGATCCTCATTCTTCAGTGAAGCTGAATGTGGCTCTGGATAAGCCCGATATTGTAGTGTTTTTCTGAGGATGACATTTGTAAAGGATAGTCGGTGCTCTGAGGTTTTTGGAGGAAGAGCAGGATATTCTAGATAGGTATGTTCTCATGTTCTTTCATGTTACATGATACTTTAATTGTAATGTAACTCTTAAGTCTTCAGCACAGAAGCCGGTCAGCTCATGGTTGCTCTGAGGTGAGTGTGTCATTCTTAACTTAATTGTAGCATATAACATCTTTGGTTTGTGGGAAATTTAGTTCCTTTTACTCCATCTGGGGTAACTTTGTACATAATACTTTACAAACTTTGCTTGAAAGCACACCCACTTATCTCATGTATAAACCACCGCCGCCACCCCACTGTAAACTGGCCCATGTATTGGGATCCTGTGGAGAACACTCAGCATTAATATGGCCGTTTAGGGAAGCAGCCTGAAGTCAATTCTGTCATCATAGTGGCCCAAATAATCTTCCCATTGATGGTGGAACTGTGCAGCCAGCTGCCTTCTTCACTGAGCTTTCTTCACACAATCTTGTAAAGGGGAATTGTGTGCATTTTAAAAGGAGCAGCTTTGCATGCATGAGCCATGTCTTGAAATATGGTGCTTCACTGTTACTTTGTAGTGGGAAAATGGATTTAAATGTCCCACTCTGCTTTCTGTTGTTTTATGTAGGTTTATTTAATTTACTTTAAACTGTTTGTCTTAAGGTTTTTACAAGTATCCTTTGCTTTACCTATATATTACTATTCTGCCTGAGACTATCAAAATGTATTCTGGCTTCAGTATTCATAAGTAATGCTTCTTTTCTGTTTTAGTTTTGCTAACATTACTGTTAGAGGATATATTACTTTACATATCTCACATGAGTAAAGTCACACATGGGAAGTAATTCTTGGGAACAAGTCACATATGGAAGTATTCTTGGGGGTATTTTTTATTCAGAAAGGTCTATAAATTGGGTGGATGTATCATTGAAGAAAATGCCAGGATTGAACCACTATTTCAGAAACTGTAGATTTTAGTCAAACTGTGGTGCATATTTGTAAAGTCATTTCTGAACAACATACTCTTATACGACATTTTTAAAAAATTGATTTAGGTAAATCTGAAAAGTGAGGAAGTGAAACCAGATCATCACAAATCTTTCTTGTGCTCGTACAGAGGTTGTGATGGGAAAGAACTTGTACCAGTACTATGCTCATTTTGTGAAAAGCAGTTTTGCTTAAGGTGAGCAAAAGAATTAATTGTTACTCTGTTCTTGCATTAGCCTGTTGGTTGGCTACTAGTGAATGTTTCTTCAACTATTATTGTTCACAGGCACCGTCATCAGTCAGACCATGAATGTGAGAAACTGGAAACCCCTAAGCCTCGCATGGCTGTCACCCAACAACTTGTTAAAAATATTGTAGGCAAGTATAGTAAAAAGTACTGTTTTCTACAGAATACTAATCCAAAGGAGCATCAACATTATTTATTTGTACAATCCCCAGCTTTGGATTTATTAGTTTGCCTAACAGCCCTGCCTTCCACAGATGGAGGCATGAGACGTATCTTAAGCTGCTTGTTTTGACAGTGACTTGAAGAGAAGGCTGCATTTCTAACTTCCATTTCCCCATAACCACTCTCAGATAGTGCCATATCACATCAGATGCATGTTTCTCTGCTAGCTGGGTTACAATTTTGTATTTTTATTTACTTCATTTGTATGCCAGTTTCTTTCCCTGAGGGGACCCAAAGTGGCTTACATCATTTTCCCCTTCTCACAACAACCATGTGAAGTAGATTAGAGTGTGCAACTGGCCTAAGCAGAGTGGGGGTTCAAATGTGGATCTCCCAGATCTAGTTCAACACTCTAACCGCTATACCACATAGGCTCCATACACTTGATGTACTTTTGAGTCTATTATGATTAATTTGGCCAAGGGGAAAAGAACAAATAATGTCACAAACTGTATTTTCCAAGTGACAAAATGTTACAGTTTCAATGGTAGGAAAACACAGTTCAGAGACTTCTGTATTCCACATAACAATTGACTAACAATTGACTAACAATTGTGCCTTTATAGGAATAAGAAGCCATTGTAATGAAAAGTCCTTTAGAAAAAAGGTGACTTTTCTCATGCGTCTGGGCTGTCGCAAACATCTGTCATTTTAGATTTGGTGCTGTGCAGTCTGTCTTGAGTATACAGAACAATGACAGGCACACAGCGATCAGAGGTCAAATAAAAAGTTCCGTTCTATGTATGCAAGCTAATGGAAGCTTTGTGTTTTCCCAGTATGCCATTTACTAAGCACTTTTAAGAAGTTACACTGCCGTATCATTCTCTTGTGTAGCAAAATAAGGGGGAAATGTAATTCTTGTTAAAACGGGTTATCTTAGATTCCAAGAAAGAAACCACAGGGATGAAAAGATGCAAAGGAGCCAAGAATGCTGAAACAGCAGCAAAAGTGGCCCTAATGAAACTAAAAATGCATGCGTGTGGGGATAAGTCCTTGCCACTGGTAAGTAAGTCATGATTGCTTCATTCCAACGACATCTGTGATTTTCCCCCTTCCATTTTTAATTCAACAAAGGGGTGTGCATGATTAGCTTGTGTGGAATTGCTTTAATCACTGTGGTAGCTCATTTCCTGCAACCTAATACAGTCTTAATTCCACCTCATTACTATTGCTGATCAGTAGGAATATTGTTTTCCATTAGCATTTTAAAGAGACACCTTTATATATAGATTTTTCTTAATTATCTTTTGTAATGTTGGTTTTTCTGTCCTCTGTTGCAAAGTGGGTTTAGCAGATGAGGAGGATTCAAACCAAACACAGCCTTCTAGTAGGAACTCCATCTTAACTGATGAATAACTCCACTCAGAACAGGATTCCACATCTGTGGCAAAGCATGAGATTAGCCTAGATTCCCACAATTAGGATTGCAAGATCCTCCACAGAAGGTCCTACATGTTTGTTCTTAGTTTATCTCAATTTAGTTGCTGAATGAGTCTTCAGCTTTCTGAGCTGCACTGTGAGCATAATAATGTGCCTAGAGACTGAAATGCAGCATGCAAATTATTCCTTGTTACTTCAGATCATTGCAGTTGTCTTGGAACTTTAGGCTTGCTTATCATCCTTACCGCTTTACAAGTGAATGGAGGAATGAGCTGGCAGGAATGTTGACGGGTCACTGAATGTCTCTAATGTAGCATGTGAACTGTCTTCCTTCAGAACTTAGGGGGAAAAGATGAGTTCTCAAATATAAAATTGCCTGTTGTGACACTTTGCAGGACAATTGTTTCTGTCCATCCAAATCTGTGTTAAAATTGCAGTGCTCCTGTCTCTTCAGAAAGTGTTTTTTTAAACAGTAGCTTGAAACTGGAGCTGAAATGAAAGAAAATGGGATTGGGTCCGATCTGTTCCGATAGTGGAGGAACTTCACAGGCATTTTGATACAGGGGAAGGCTCCTTGTGCCAGAGGGATGCACCTTTGCTAGCTGCATCCAGCCTAGAGTTGCTGTCGGGAGGGCACAAGTGTCTAGATAAAGGAGGAGGAGAAAGAAAGGAGAAACTTTAAGGAAATCATTGACACCATATGCAAGGGAGAGTACTGAAACCACATCTCCATAGTTATAATATTTTCAAACATTTCTTTTGTAACGAAGCCTCTCTATTTCAAAGCTGAAGGTGTAAAGTTCTAACTGTACAGATAGAACAGCCAGCTGCCAGATACACTCTGATAGTGAGTCTTGTGTCATGCCTGTATAACTAGAAACTCATATTTTAATCTACATATCTGGGGTTTTCCATTGTAGAGTGAGAGAATCTACTTCCAAGTATTTTTACCAAAAGGAAACAAGGAGAAAAGCAAGCCCGTGTTCTTTTGTAGTAAATGGAGCATTGGCAAAGTAATTGATTCAGCAGCTTCCTTGGCAAACCTTAAAAACGACAACAACAAAAGCACCAGCAAGGTAACTGAACTGAAGGATCTTCCTTTATCCCATGTTCTTATTTAATTTATAGTGCAGTAATGCCAGGATTTCTTTTTAAATTTTCAGAAATTAAGACTCTGCCACCCAGCATCTGGAGAAGCTTTACCTTTGGACCACACCTTGGCATCTTGGATAAGCAACAAAGAATGCCCCCTCTATAATGGTGGAAATGTTATCTTGGAATATCTTGATAACGAAGCTCGGTTTTTAGAAGATACAAATTTATATGTAGAATAATTGCAGGAACCTCTTGATACGTAATAATCAGATTCAGTACAAAACAAGGTTCTTAGTCTGTTTAAAGCTGTGTGGCATAAGGGGAGGTGGTTTATTCACAGGAATCAGTTTTAGAAATAGACATATTAGAATATAGCTTACTCCATTCTACAGTAGGACAAGGGGCTGAATGACTTACACATGTTTGTCCCCTGATGCTTCTCGCGCTAAAGTGTGGTCTCCATTGAAAAGTATTGAGTCTGATTTGGTATCAGGATAGTTTCAGAGGGCAGCTGTGTTGGTCTGCAGTAGAAGAGTATAAGCTTTCAAGAGTCAAAGCTCCCTTCGCCAGATAACGTCATCCAAGTTGTCATGACATGCTCTGAAAATCCCACCTGTGATCTGTGCTGCCTCATTAGCACACGCAAATCACCGAAAATTCAGAAGCTAGTTTCTGATGAGCTATAGAAGCAGCAGCCAAAGGAGGGTAGAAACATTACTTGGATTCTTGTCAACTCTACAGAGAAGCTGGCACTTAGAGAAACTTCTAGAATGGGCGATGGTGGAATGTGCAGGCACATGTTGGTTTGTGAAAAGGTTACACTTCCTTGTCACCAAGATTTCTTTTGTCCCTGTTGCAGAAGACCTTGGCATTTTCTTAACGCAGATCTTGGTGATTGATTACATCTTCTTAGTTTCTGAGTAAATTTTCAAACAAGGAAATATGTGGTGATACAAAGACACTTATCTTCACCACCTCACATCTACTGCTCCTGTGTTGTTCTCCCAATCACTAGGCATAGCACCATGTGCACAGCCTCTGGAGCACTTTACTGCATCACAAGATGCAATTTGAGAGACAGCATGTGCAGTTCTTTCATTCTATCCTCTTACTTCAAAGCTAGCTGCTTCTCAGAGCTAATTGGAAGAATGGAAGTTGTAAACACTTTTTATGCACTGCAAGTGCATGCAAGATATGCCCAGCCCACGATTGGTAGATGAAACCCTGCTGAACTTTCCATCAATGCAATATGTGATGTCTGTTACAGTATACAGCAGGGAATTTTCTGTGGCCCTGGTTTTACGGAATTCCCTGCAGAAGGAAAGCTGATTAACATAAATTTGCTGACCATAGACACTAAGACAAGCTTTTGGGGACACGGGGGTTTTGAACCAATGTGTGGTTCATGGTTACAGTAGTGATATTTTATATCAGAGCAGCATTTGGAGTTACATTTATCAGCAGATTAATAGCGTGTTTGGAATCTGTTCTACACTCATGATGCAAGAACTAAAAGACCATTCTCCTGCATCAGACTAAAAAGTTTGTCTTGTCCAGCATCCTATTCCACATAACTGGCAGCCAAATGATTTGGGGAACTCCACAAAGCAGGAGCCCATTAAGCCTGTTGTTATCACCCAGCAGCAGGCATTCAGTGGCATAGTGCTTTTGACTGTGGAGGTTCAATTTTGCTATCATAGCTACTAGCAATTGATAGACAAATGTAGCCTTTATGTATTTGATGGTGTTAAAAACACAGTAAGCCAAAGCCATGACACAGTGAGGAAGCAGTACAACCATATTACCTTTTAATCAGGTGAGTGCTAAATTGAAAAGATGGCCAAAGCATGACCCAATTAAATGTACAGCAGAAGTATAACCAACTTTAACTGTTGCTGCAGCACTAAGACTGCTGCAGCTTTGCCCGTTTCATTACAGGAATGAGTTTGAGAAGTGCTGCAGCAGAATTTCTTAAAATTGTTACTCTAATTAGAAGGCAAATAACTCCTAGTAAAGGTAAAGGTTTCCCTTGGTCGAAAGCCAGTCAAATCTGACTCTAGGGATGCGGTGCTCATCTCCGTTTCCAAGCCGAAGACCCAGCGCTGTCCAAAGACGTTTCCGTGGTTATGTGGCCGGCATGACTAAACACCAAGGTGCATAGAACACTGTTACCTTCCCACTGAAGTGGTATCTGTTTATCTACTTGCAATGTCTTGCTTTTGAACTGCTAGGTTGGCAGGAGCTGGGACCAGAGACAGGAGCTCACTCTGTCATGCGGCAGTTGGGTCTCGAATTGCTGAACTACCGACCTTCTGATTGAGCAACCGCAGCCCCACAAATAACTCCTATTCCATATCAAAAGTGATAACTCAAAGTTGATTTCTACATACCAGAAAGTCATGGGGGGTACAAATTATACATTTAGGAAAGCTTTGTATTTTACAATATCTCTGTCAGTTCTTTCAGTTGCACACTTCTGGAACATGCAGAATTTTATTTCAGTACAAGGCACAGTATAACCACATGTTGCTAGAACTATTGAGTCCTTTGATATCAAAGGGCACCAGGTATCTTTGGTTTGAACCAAAGTAGTAAGTTGTAATTTTGGCTTGCATAGAAAAGATTGATGGGTCTCTGTGTTTACATTTTGTATTTTTGGCATTGAAACTTAGATCAACCTAATAAAAAGATACGGTACTGAAGCATTTTAAAATGGAAGCATGGCATTCAAGACAAACACATGACTCATCCCCATGAATACTGGAACAACTCAGTCCTGTGTAGGGAAGAATAATCAGTAAGCAAGCACTTAGGGCTTTATATGTTAATCTCATGTAAATTTCACAGTATGGACAAAATCATTGAGTCCTTCGGGAGTTAGCTTGAATGATCCTTGCTATGGGGTAAATGTCTAATCCAAGTCTAATTTTTGATGTTGCAGCAGAGGAATTGAACCTCTCTAATATTTTTAAAGTCTGTCTTTCACTTTCAGCTCAGATTAGTTCACAAGGATTTAAACCAGAGTTCCCTAATGTGGTGCCCAAGGGTGCCATGGTGCCCACCAAGTGTTTTCAGGGAACCAGGTGAGACTTTGGCCTTGCAGGGCTTCTGATTGGCCATTGGAGATGATTGGATGCAGATTTTTAAAATTTTGCTTTGGCAGCAGCTGCCACCTTAACACAAGTCAGCACTGTATGACTTCAGATAAGCTGCATGTATGCAAGAAATTTTTTTTTAAACAATGTGGTCATTTTAAACGGCATCCTGTTAAATGGAACTTCTGTCTGAAATGTTGGTTACTATTAGTGTTATGCATGACCCCACTCCCTGAGATTTTGTGGCTGGCGCTGCCTTTTGTAGCAGCCATTTTTTATTCGTGCACACCATCCAGTGTCAGAATTCCAAAGGTGCCTGCTTGCTCACAAAGGCTGGGGATTTAAATGTAATGTAAATAGTGTGTTTAAATAGAATTGTGCAACCATTTTTAAAAGAACAAAGTTTGAGTCCAGTGGCTCCTTTAAGATCAACAAAAGTTTAATTCTAGGTATAAGCTTTCATGTGCATGTACATTTCATCAGATACCTTATACCCAGAATTAAATTTTGTTCTGTTGCTTCAGACCAGCATGGTACCCACCTGAATTTATTTTATTTAAGGAATTGGTGTGAAAGAAGTCCATTAAAGTAGGATAACCCCATGACCAGGAACTTTGGCTACCTGTATAATTAACATGATGAAAATTCCAGAGGGGTAGCTGCATTAGGCTATGGCAACAAAATGAAATTAGTTCAGGGGCATCTTAAAGACTGACAAAATTTATCCCAGCCTAAGCTTTTGTGAATTCGAGTTCATCAGATGCCCTGGAGTGTACATCCATTAGGTTGATATTTTGATGGTCCACAACAGTAAAGGTAGGTGTGTGAAAATGCAGAGAGGGGTTGATGTACAACAAAATCTAAAAAGCCCAATCAGTTTACTCAGTATCAACAGTCTTGCTAATGAATTTGAATTCAGCAATTTTGTGTTAGGAGTCTCTTGAAGCCAGGCCTGTAGCTGCAGTGGGGCATCTCGGGGCCTGGCCCGACTTACTGCCAAGGCTTCCCATCCAGGCCAGGCGCTCCCTTGGGGGGGGGGGGTGCCCCTTACTTATTTAAAGGCTCCCCAAATTAAAAAATCCTGGCTACAGGCCTGCTTGAAGCTGCCTTCTCTGAGAGTCAAAGCTTTTAGGTCAGTAACAGAATGTCCTGCAAGATTAAAACGCAATTAAGCTTACTTTACCTGTCTTTTATTGGATTTTGTTTTAAAGGCCCCTCTCTTTATAACACCCTAATAAAAGCATCAGGCTAACAGACTCGAATGCATTTGATAAAAGTCAACTCTGATTTACAAAACCTTACGCGGGAATAAATTTTTGTCATCCTGTAAGGTGCCACTGGACTCGTGTCCTGTTTTATCTTAACAGTACAAAGGAAATTGTTGCTTTTCGTGCTCTTTGAAAGACAATGCACTTTATGAATGCCATCCGCTGTGGGGCGTGAACAGGGCCGCTCCGTCCTCCTTCGCTAGGCTTTGCACCTCAGTATTTCACTCCCCCCCCCCGTCCTATCCCATCCCAACAGACACCAGAGGGTTTCCGTTGCTCTCTTGCCCTTCACCAGCGCAGCCGCAGTAAGGGATGCAACTCATAGGGGGTGGGATTATATTAGGAGGTTCCTGCGCAGTGGAGACGTTGAGGCTGTCACGTGCCAGACTCTGAACCCGGCTTTAATAGTGCGGCGGCCGCCGGAGGGCAGAGTCTGGCGGGGATGCTGTTTCGTCCAACTGTCTCTTTGTAGCTCTGAGGCGGTCATTCCCTCCCCCTTCACTGGTAAGTTGCCACTTTGAGAAAAGCTGCGCGTGCCCGCCGACCTAAGCAGTTACGGGTGTTTTTGTTTTTGCCAGGGAGGAATTGGTGGTCCTCCTGCAAAGGAAAGGGGGGGAGACCAGCCTTTGGTGGGCAGAGGGAACGGACGGACGAGGCACAGGGACGGGCTGGGAAGCCGGAACAGCCCCGCCCTCTTCCACCGTCACGCCCTCCTCCTGATGTAGGGCCAAAGAGCGGGCCGGAAGGGAGCCGGGCGGGCCTCTCCATGCGTGGGCTGGTGTGCGGTTCACTATGTACGTCCGTTCCTGTTTTTGCTCCGCGCTCGTTGGGGATTTGTTATTTATGTTTCGGGGCTGAATCGTCGCCCAGATGAATGGCAACCGCAGGCTCGATCCGTATGCTGCAAGTTGCAACATCCATGTCGCTTGGAAGCGCTTCTAAGTAACTCCTCTCCTCCTCCAGACACTCTTCCTGGAAAAGGGTCACATCCCTCCTTGCCATATAACCAAGGGGGAAAGGGTTAGCTGGTGCAGAGGAAGCCTAGGCGAGGCCTGCCGAGGGCCCTGGGCCTGGTGAGGCGGCCCCTCCAGAGGAAAGCAGCCGTGGCCATGAGCCCACCAGGACTTTCCCAAGTGGCCTCACTCACTAGTCAGTCCACACCTCCCCACTATTCATGCAAAACCAAGGAATTCTAGATATTCTTTCTAGTTTACTAATAGGCGTAAACTTTATGTCATTAAAGTAAACTGTGAACTGTTAGTACATTGCTGTGTAGGGATATGGTAGATGTTAAGAAATATATGAGTGCTTCCCTGCCTGAGGTGTTTTAAGAGAAGAAAGCAGATTTATTTCTGTAAAATTTTTTAAAGGCTTTTAAAAGTTCTCTCAGTACTACTGGTAGGTGAGATGTGAATAGGTGATGATCTTCATTACATCAATAGGTGTTATCCATTAGATATCTTTGATAGTCTTAGCCAAGTTTCATGCAGCAGTGTCAATTACTATTGGCAGAGTAGCTGGGAAAAGGAGAATTCTGTTTTCCCAGAAGCAAAAATATTGCTATTTTGAGTGCTAGGAAAATTCACCACCCACACAGCAATATACTGGTTTCTCTAGAACAAATACACATCTGCTAACGAGTTGTGGTACTAGAAACTCATTGGTTGGAAAACATTAGCTTGGTTCAGCTTCAACAACTAACCATGTTTGTCATTACATGAACAAGATTGTGGGATTCTCTGGCTTGAGTCCTGATCTGGATGGCCCAGGTTATCCTGATCTTGTCAGATCTCAGAAGCTAAGCAGGGTCAGCCCAGGTTAGTACCAGGACTGGAGACCAAAATCTAGGGTTGCTGTGCAGAGGTAGGCAATGGCAAACCATTATCTCTTTCCTTGAAAACCCCGTGGAGTTGCAATAAGTCAGCTGTAACTTGACAGCACTGTCCACCACTGCCAGGAAGATAGCAAATCATATTTTTTTTTCAGATGTCATTTTCTCCAGAGAATCTTCTTGAGACCACTTACAAAGTAGAACATACTAAAAACAAAAAACACCAGAAATAATAACAATGATAAACTTCTAAAACCTGTGGTTCATCATTGTTACGATTAAACTGTTTCTTAATATATACATTTCATTTTTCAACATGGCAAGAGCCAGTGTGGTGTAGTGCTCAAGAGTGTTGGACTAGGATCTGGGAGACCCAGCTTCAAATCTGGCCTCTGCTGTGGAAGCCTGCTGGGCTGACCTTGGCCTAATCACACACTCTCAACCCCTTGCAGGGTTGTTGTGATGATAAAATGGAGGAGAGGAGAATGATGTTAGCTGCTGAATGGGTTGCCCATTGAGGGCAAAGGCGGAGTAGAAATAAAATAGTAACTGTTCATGGGTTCTTGCCTAAGGATTCTACAATCAATCATTTCTAATAACCCCTCAAAAGCAACCTCTGTCTTGTTTTTGTCTTTTTGCCAGCCAAAGTTGTTTGGTCTTTTACTTGGTTTGCTTAATGAACTCTTTTTGGCTACCAATTCTCATATGTCTCCAAGTGTGTGAACATGATTCATTCAGGCAGGTTCCTGCCAATTGCAGGCACCTGTAACATAGGCCTCTCACTATAATTATACAAATTTCCTCTGCACAGCATCATGCAACATATGGGGAAAGGTGTAGTCCACATTTTGTGGGGGGGCCCTCATTTCACCTTGAAAATCTAGAGTTGAAAAATGTAAAAGCGCTCCTCTAAATCTGTTCTGCCAAATGACTGTTTAAAGGTTGGTTGTGCTCGGTGATTTTCATCTATGCAAAAGGCGCTTGCAAAAGAAGGTGGAAACAATATGGATGTTGCTGGCATTAAACAGAAGGCAGCTATGTGTCACCATAGACTTTCAGTGGAGGAGATATGCTGAGATATTCTAAATAGTTAGTATTGATTTCCAGACGCAAGACTAGACAACCAATCCTGAGAACCAAGCCTTGAAGAGAGTACTTTAAAATTCTTAGACATCCTTTAAAAAAAATGAGGAAGGGGGGGGGGGAAGGACTCAGCCCAATATATGACTGTGACATATGAGGGTCAAGCTAACAAAATAAGTTATAATAAAAATACAAATATTTATTAGGGTGTACACATTAGTAAAACTTAAAATAGGTTAAAATAAATGATCCAGATATCAGACTCTTAAAACTTTTTGCACACAGAACTGGTAGTTTTTCATATACAATTGATGGCTATATCTTATGACCCCTTTGGGCCTTCCTCAGTGGTCAATATTACTATTGTAAAATAACACACATCCAGAAATAAATATATGAAAAAAGTTTTTCTTTAGAGCCAGGTATTGCTTTTACATGTGATGTGCAATTGCTAAGAGGGTGTGGATGCATCTATCCGCAACCTTGGGATAATCCTTGGGTTTATAGATACCGTACATACAAAATGTTTTAAAAGTAGGTGCTTATCCATTCTTGAGGGGGTGAAAGTAACCCATGTATGTGTCACCAAAAAATCCAAGACCGTGTTTTAAGGCAAGGAACCAACTGGGAAGAATCTAAGCAAGTGGGCAGGTTGGGAGGGAAACTGGTCACTGGGAATGGTGAGTTGGGGGGAGACTGGCAGTTAAGGGAAGGAATGAATGAATAGATGGTTTGGAGGATGGGATCTGTCAGTGGAGTGGGTTACGTAAGGGAGAAACCAGGCAATTAGTCAGGTAAGCAGGAAGGGAAGCAGAGACAGGCAGAGATGGGATTTCTAGGGGCCACTTTCTTATTATACTATGTTTGGAAATTAGCAGTAATAGTGCTAAAATATCTTTTTTGTCTAAAACTTGTGTTTTAGTAAGTTACGTAATGAACCAAAACATCTTCAGTCTATTTTGAATCATGCCTACTTACACACTTTAACGTATTTTCTGTTTGGGTTTGTAGCCATACTGGGAAGCAAACCCCACTGAAAGCTGTGGCGTTTAATTTCAAATCCTGCAGGTTTAAAATCAGAATGATAGGCTGCAGCCCTAAGCTGAAGGTTGCTAAGGTGGAGGAACACAACCAGGGCAACAAAATTTGCGGGGTCCTGATCACCGGGGGGGGGGGGGAATCCACACACCCCCGTAAATCATGTAACTTGCTTTCCTATAATGTTTGAGTTGGTCCTGGGTGGTATGCATGGGGCCCAAGACCAAGGTACATGGTGGCTGTGATTAGTTCTGCTTAAGCATATTCCATGGGACTTCCTTGTGAGTAAATATGTTTAGGAGTGTTATGCAATTTGTAGAATTATACAGCTTATTTATTACGTTCTGTCATTTCAGCATTTCTTGAGAAAGTCCGACCAACTGCATTTTATGGTTTTATAGGAATGTTTCCCTGATTAAAGAAATTTGATGGTGAGACTGCATGCTATTTCTGCTGCCCTTGTATGTCAACCACGTAGTAGTTTTCCCATCTGAACGCTTTAAGAATATTTGCATCCTGACTGTCTGACCAGCCACATACACACACTCAGTTTTACCAGTCCCAGGTGTGCACAAGAGTGCCATCTTGAAACAGTGAAACAAAGCAACTCAAGCAAGCTGTGGGAACCAAAAGTGTAGTTAAAGCACCAATAAGGCGACGTAGTATTTTTTTTTCTGGAATTAATTTTATCTATAAATTGCGTATTTCAACAGGAATGAATCAAGCTACTAAAGAAAGCAGAGTTTGTCAACATTTTAATCACATAATTTTAAAATTGTATTTTATTGTATTATGATATTTTTGTTTCTGTGCATTGTGAAATATGTACTTTTACCTAGGTAACGATGGCTGATCCTTGGCAAGGATGCATGGACTACGCAGTTACTTTAGCAAGAAAAGCTGGAGAGGTAAGGGAACAAAGTCTGAGTCCTGTGGCATCTTTAAGACCAATAAAGTTTAATTCTGGGTGTAAGCTTTTGTGTGCATGCACACCTCTTCGGATGAAAGGAAAGTTTGATTGCAGCTATCATATAATATATCTTGGCATATATATACTTGCCAATTGCAAAGTGCACTATGTTGTTTATCTGCATTATTAAAGGCCATATTAACTGCTGCTTTCCAAACATTTACATAAAGTATTTCTTTTCAGATAATATGTGAGGCACTGAAGGAGGAAATAGCTGTCATGGTTAAAAGCTCTCCTGCAGATCTAGTGACAGTCACTGATCAGAAAGTGGAAAACATGATTATTTCTTCTATAAAAGAAAAATATCCTTCTCACAGGTACTGAATATTTATGAACTCAAGTTTTACTTTCAATAAGATGTATCTGAAAAGTATGAATTATTGTGTAGGATGTGCAGATTAACAGAATAAACCAACATCCTTAAAGTTGCGCTCACTGAAAATTCTAGTTTGCTACTTGCAAACCATTTTCCTACAAATTTTTCCTAGAAACAACATTCTGGGTTGATTTAGCAAACAATCTCTTCTACTGCCATGGACTTTTTCCTGCTATTTCTGCTGATTTGTTTAATGACACAGAAAGTTTATATTTTGATTTTGTGGCCTTTCCTCTATTGATTTTTTTTTTAATTTCCTTTGGTATAACTATATGAAAAAGTTTGCAGTCAGCATTCATTTAACACTTTCTAAAGTGGCAGGATGAGTAAAAAAGAGAGGGTGGGTCAGATAGCTACAAAAGGCAATGTTACAGCAGCCGGCACTCAGATTTCCGGGTTCTCAAGAAGAAAGGCTACCCTTGATTGTTTGCAGATGCAAATACTTTGAACCACTATAAGTAATGGTCTAATTACTGAACAGTATAGTCTGGAGCTGTAATGATGCAGTGACCCAACATCTCTTTCTGTCTGTCTGTCTGGAAAAGGGAGAAAGGATGTCTCTTTGCAGAAACAGCGCAAAAGTGGCTATATAGTTCTATAACATAGTTCTGAGGAATATAAGTATTGTACAAGATCAGAAATGGTTATGGTGAAAAAGAACAAATCATAGCAAGTCTAGAATTAGCCAGGCGAGGCGCATCTCTGAGCAGTCAGGCATCTGAAGCTGTGAAACTGGTGTCTTGCTGTCTAACATCTATTTGACTCAGAGCTAAATTGTTAGTGCTATTATCTTTTAGAGTAGAGGCTTGCCCATATGCCTGGATTTACCTGGCATTAAAGCCAAATTGTTATTCTTTGCTTTCACGTTTCTTGGAGTAGAATTTAAATTAGTAGTCTGTTAGACAGAGCTTGAAAAAATTGGGACATATTTGCATTGTTTGGAGCAAAACTGGATCAGTGGTTCAACTATAATTACATGCATACTGTTGGGAGGGCTCTGTTAATGGCGGGAAGGGGATTCTAGTAAAAGGACCCTGACAGGAGTCATAAAATCAGGTTTTTTTTAAAAAAAGCAAAGTCTTTGAATTATTTAAATTCTTCTGCCATCTCTTGAACATTGTGTTCAAGTTTACACCAGCAGCAATCTCTAAACCCAATGAATTAATATCATAAAAAGGGAAATTTATAACTTGCTGAAGCGATAACACGCTTATAATCAGGATGCTCACACAAATCTATGTTGGGAGATAAGTAGAAAAACAGAAGAAACACATTGGTATATGCTTCAGAGTGCAACCTGATTCTATGATTAGCTTCATACTTTGGTCCAGCCTCTGAGGTTAATATGCAGTCTCCTCCACAGCAAGGATGCTTGATGCACCAAGGGAAATGCAGTGAACACCCTTCCCTTGTTGCACATCTCTAAATACGACTGCAACATTTTACAGTGGGTCAGAGTAATGCAGGAGGATTTTTGCAAGGTTGATTGGTGGTCTTGATGTTCCTGCCTTCAGCTAGGGCTCAGTGGAGATGCACATGACATATCCCAGTTTCAAAGTCCTGATGTCATGTGGAAAGTCCCATGTAGGATTACAAACTGCAATCATCAGAGTACAGTTAGAAGAGACATTTGTATTTTAGCAAATTTAGTTGGATGGATCTACTTTTCACTGTATGATCTTATTTAGCAAAGGCAAATCTGACAATTTTAAGTTCCTTATACAATTTCCACAGTAAATTGCTTAACTGAGCACTTGATTGTTTTTGTTTCATTATTGGCTTTGAGAGTTTACAGAATCTATGGTGGTACAGGCCTGTGTGAATTATTCTTTACATTTCCACAGCATGACTTTACATTGTCATGGCATATAAGAAATTTGTATGTGCTGGATGAGTGCTGTTTGCTGAAGTTGACTTCACATTTTAGGGGATCTGAGTAGCTCATGTGAAAACGACTTGTGTATTATACAGTCTTCCAGACAAACTGTCTTAAACGTTTTTTAATATTTGCTCACTCTAGTTTTATTGGTGAAGAATCTGTTGCAGCTGGTGCAGGAAGTATTTTAACTGATAATCCCACCTGGATTATTGACCCTATTGATGGAACTACTAACTTTGTTCACAGGTATGTTTCTACATCTCCCACTACACATCCTGGAGAAGCAATATTTCCATATCTTATTTTGCCAAATTCAAGCAAGAGGGCTGTGTTGTGGAATGAACTTGGGGTTTCGGGTTTGGTTGTGAGGTTTTTTTGTTTGTTTTTTTGGCTTCTTCTTCATATGGAGGCACTATTAAGGTTTTCTCAGAGTTGCAAATTTCCATAATTAACACGTGAACAATACCTGTACCATTTTTTCTTACAAATTCAAAGACATAATTTTTATACTAAGTGCAATGTATTTATCACTTTTTGTTTTTCAGGTTTCCATTTGTAGCAGTTTCCATTGGCTTTGTAGTAAATAAAAAGGTAATTAATTGTGTTATTTTAATATTCAGGAAAAAAGTTTCCATCCTAGCTTATTCCCAGAATATAGCTTTTTGTGTTTGTTTATTCAAAACACTAAAGCATTGCATTTCCCTGGTGGCAGATGGAATTTGGAGTTGTGTTTAGCTGCGTAGAAGACAAGATGTACACTGCTAGGAAAGGGAAAGGTGCATTTTGCAATGGGCAGAAGCTCCACGTATCACGACAACAAGGTGAGGCTTTTATATTGCGTTTATTGTTGCTTAATAAAATATGGCAGGAGGGAGTAACAGAATAATGGGTGCGAAAAGCCATGTTTGGACAAAATACATTTCAGCTGATGGAATCCAGATATCAGCCAAGGAACCGATGGCAGGAGTGTTCTGCTGGTTTCTAAACTGTCTCTCAGAACTGAGTCTAATAATTAGAACACGACACTACACGGGTTCTTGTCTAGTAGAATGAATTTGCTTTTGCCTTCTAAGCATCCTAACCTGCAAACTGATTCCTGATTAACTAGTTTTCCTGGCATGTTCCTCTCTTCCTATGATATGAAGGACTGTCCATCTTCAAAAAATAATTTTGGGAAAAAATGCATGTCCATTCAGTTGTGTGTTTGTAGCCTCTGCTTTAATAACTGATTCAGTTGAAAAATTCGTGTAGACATGCATGTCATGATATCACAGGGACCAGCCACATGACTCTGTACACAGCTAACATCAGGGGCTGACAGGCAGAACAGGTTTCTCTGAGCTTGATCCTGGAGAGGAAATAGCTTGTGTGAACAAAACACGGTGAATGCAAATTCTGCTGCAGCCTCACTTGTCAGTTTATGTGTGTCTGATTGCAGCCCAACACGAATTTTCAGGACGAGGCAGTGGGGAAAAATAGGCAAAAGCCTGTGGGACATAACTGATCCTGGATCTGTAAGTCAAATAGGTGCAATATGACTGGTTCTTATTAAGACCCTGTTAGATCAGCCATGGTTTCCTCTTCAGGTCCTTGTTGAATGACTAGGCGGATTACAGCAATAACATGTAGCTCACGGCAATCCAGATAAGTATGTCAGCAGGACAAGCCATATTCTTGACAGCTCTCATGGTATTATGTACAAAATGGAAGTACATTTTGTTGGTACCTTTCTTAGAATGACTGATGGTACTCTTTCATTATTCATCTTGTTCTGTTTGAACAACTAGCAAAAGTAAATCAAAATTAAGTATACAGTAGATGCCTTTATTTTTGCATTTTCCCCCCAGATATTACAAAAGCACTCATAGTGTCTGAGCTGGGATCAAATCGTGAACCAGAGGTTTTAAAAACTGTTCTTTCTAATATGCAAAGGCTTCTCAGCATTCCTATACATGGGTATGTAATCTTTTTTGTTCTTTTTAAAAAAATCTAAGTTGTACTTAGCATTATATTTTTAGTGGTGCTGTCTTAAGCATCTTCACACCTTTCTAAGCCCATTGAACTCAAGGGGCGTAACTGTGTTTACAATAACACAGCAAACTGCAGGGCCGGCTCCAGGGTTTTTTGTACTCTAGGCAAGACCACCTTCTGCCCCCCCCCCCCCGCGCGCCCACCAATTATGGGGTTGCCAACATCCAGGCAGGGCCTGCAGTGAAGGAAGTCCAACTGCTGAACGTGCACCACACACATACACACACAGAGTGGATCAGACTACCTCCGGAGGTGGTGGATGCTCCTGAATTCCAGGTATTTCCCAACCTGGAGCTGGCAACCGTGCACAGAAACTCTGTCCATTCTTTGCTTTGATGCGGAGAGAGCGTGCACGCAGTTGGGCTTGCTGAATGTCTCTAACCCGACCTAACCTAGTGGCCACCAGTGCATCCAGTGATGGTGAGTTCCGCAGGTTACTGATGCCGCGGGAGAAGACGCCTGTTCCAATCCTAATCCACTGCCAGTCAACTGCAGGGGCTGCCTCATCATCTGCCAGTCCTAAGGGGCGGATTCAAACACTGCCGCAAAAGATCTCCGCTGTGCATTGCACCTGATGTCAAGGGCGTAGACTTTCCAATTTCCCGGTGATGTGGGGAGACCCAGGTTTGTATTCTCACTCTGCTGGCTGAGTGACCCCGGGCCAAATCTCCCCTTCTCTACCTAACCTACCCCACAGGGTTGTTGTGAGGATGAAATGGAGACTCATGGGCAGGGTCCCCAGCTTCCCTGGCAGGAACACTATGTTAAGAAATCTCTCACAATTATGCAGCCATAGCAGGCAGGAGGGAAGGAGGCGAATACCTCCAGCGCCAGAGACTTGTAGGGGAAGAGTCAAACTTTGGGGACTCACCCGTGCACCAGAGGGCCAAGGCAGCAGGAGGCAAAAAGCCTGGGCAAGCTGGGCTCCTCCATGCCTGGCAGAAGATGAGGTGCAGAGGCGAGAGGTGGGCAAGCAGAAGAGGCACTCAGCCAGCCGCACAAGCTGCGTGCAAAGAAACTCCTGCGCTTTTGGTTTTGCTTTTTGCCAATCCGTCTCCCAAGATTGCGAAAGCGGCGGCAGCCATAACTTTTTAAAGAGCCCCTAAGGACAGCTGGGAGAGCCAGAATGACCTCTTGCGCGAGAGGTGGAATTTGCCCTGACGACTCCAAGGCCACCACCCCAGGGCTCAGGGAGGCAAAGGAACGCTTCACCCCGCCCCCGCAGGCATCGCAGCCGCTGCTGAGAACAGCAGCGGTGGCAATAACTTTTTAAAGAGCCCTTAACAAGAGCTGGGGGAGCCAGAATGACCTCTCACGCGAGAGGTGGAATTTGCCCCTACAAGTCTAAGGCCACCATCCCGGAGTAGGGAGAACGTTTCGCCCCGCCCCCCTCCCGCCCCCTCGGGAGTGCATGCCTGCCTTTCCAAAGGAGCCTGGTTGTCTTCGGAGGAAGTAGCTGGGCGGGAAGGGGCAGCGGACTCCGCTTGGAGACCTCGGGCTGGTTTCAGGAGGCAGGGAGCATCTGAGCGTTTTGGAGAAAGCCCAGCACTTTCTTCAGAGGAGGGTGCTGGGGGGGAAGAAAGGGGACTAAAGGAGGCACTGCTTGGAAACCTTGGAGGCTATCCACCGGTCCCCTGGCTTTTGGCGGCCTGAGCCCGCGGCGGCAGCAGTCAGGGAGATACAGGGCTTTTGGCGGGGGCTTGGGGGGCTTTGGCTGGGGGGGAGCCGGTTTGGCACCCTCAGGGCCGGCCCGCACTCTAGACGAATGCCTAGTTCGCCTAGCGAGTGAGCCGGCCCTGGCAAACTGCTTCTTAAATCGTAAGTTTGGCTCAGGAGTGGTATTGTCCAGGGCATAAGCCCCTTCCCATTTACTCAGGGACAAATCTTTCCAGTTTCAGTGTACTGCTTGCAGAAACAAACGGAACTCCTTGTGCTTGGGCTGGAACAGGAGCAGCAGCATTGGGACTGTTTGCCCTTTGTAAGCTGCTTCCAGGAATGGTTTTTGATTGAGAGAGTGGGATGGAAATACTTTACTGAAAATAGAAACCACATTTCTCCTGTCTTCAAGGTATTGGGGGGGGGGTGTTACACAAGAGGGATGAATAGAAGTATGTGGGATAGGAGACAAGTGAGAAGCAACGGGGGAGGGCATGGCTGCAGGAACTTTGCTTACTCAAAAAGTTTTGAATGAGCTCCTCCTTTCCTTGCATCTCTGGGTCATAGGTTGCTCATTGACAGCATCATTAGACCCGTATCTCAGAATGGTTTGTTTCAAGTATGACTAATGGTGGTTCTAAAGATAGAATTTATGATGTATTTTCAGTATATTCAAATTTTATGGTTTCCAAAAGTGAATGGATGATTCGACCACTGTGGTTGCTGCTGTGACCAATAATATACTGATAATGGGAGCTGCGGTGGCTCAAGTGGTTAAGACGCTGAACTGCAGGCTGTGGAAGGGCAGTAGTTCAGCAGTTCAAGACCCGGGTGCCGCAAGACAGGGTGAGCTCCTGTCTCTAGTTCCAGCTCCTGCCAACCTAGCAGTTCGAAAGCAAGAAATTGCAAGTAGATAAATAGGTACCACTTCGGTGGGAAGGTAACAGCGTTCCGTGCGCCTTGGTGTTTAGTCATGCTGGCCACATGACCACGGAAACGTCTTCGGACAGCGCTGGCTCTTCGGCTTTGAAACGGAGATGAGCACCGCAACCCTAGAGTCGGATTCGACTGGCTTTCGAGCAAGGGAACCTTTACCTTTACCTTTTTAATGGGTTGGAATCAAATGTCTGTTGCCACTGGTATAGGCCACCTCTATTTAGGAAAAAGGTTTTTTTTTGCCAAGTTCTGATACAGAACCGCCAGTTCACCCCTGTCACCAGAAGAAGCATTCCTAGGGACTACAGGCAGAGGGGGTCCGGTTCCACTGAGAGTATTTCGGATCGTTTTCCACACTGGTATCCCAGATGACTTCCACAGGTATAGTTATGCACAACCCAAGGTTTTCTGGTAATGCATGTTCTCTGTTTTAGAATTAGAGCAGTTGGGACAGCAGCCATAAATATGTGTTTGGTGGCAACGGGAGGAGCAGATGCCTATTATGAGATGGGGATTCATTGCTGGGATATGGCAGGAGCTGGAATAATTATTACAGAAGCTGGTGGAGTTCTGCTTGATGTCTCAGGTAAACTATGTGAGAAACATAAAAACAAACTGAAAAAGACACTTGGCATATATGAACATTTAGCTAGCAACAAGATGTTGGATGCTGTGCTTTGTTCCACATTGGGTCAACTGGCTCTTGGACCTTACACAGGGTCTCAGCCCAGTATGAACACTCTGCACACATGCATCCCTGCACTGTTCCCCAGCATTTACTGACACCACCAGCACCCCAAGCAAGATTTTGGTGAGCACAACATGCTGCATGGGGAAAAGACAGCTGGGAAAGTTCTGTAAGTGCTGCTGTGCTTCTAGTGTTTAAGATCTAACCCAAAGTACACAAATGATTGAATATTAAGAGACATACATGCATTTAACTGTGTCTGGGTTCCATTCAGTGGGGTTTGGACACATCTAATTTGTGTAGATGCTCCAGATTTGTAGTGGTTATATGTGAAATGTTTGCTTTCCTGTGTCAGTGTACAAATGTATCTTTGCATGTTGAATGTTGAAGATGCTCTCTATTTATAATATCATATAACTCTTTGTGTACTAGTATCCATTAAGGGATTCAGGGCTCCTGAAATTTTCTTCTAGCTGCCTCCCTTTAAATGCACACTGTCTCCCTTTAAAGGACAGACTTATCTTCAAAGGCTGTATTTTTCTTATCAGTTACCTCTGCAGATTGCAGGGCTTCAGGTTGTAATGCTTGCCTTGAACAGAATGATTTGAAGATTACTGCCAAAGTGCAGCTGCCTTGCTTTTCCTCATTGTGGGTTGGATCCTGTGGATCTGTTCCACTTGTGGCGGTGCTTTCCAGTTCAAAATGTATTCATTTATCTTTCACTGAAACTCAAGGTGGATTTATACCATTAAAACAATGCAATAAGAACAGTATGAAACCTACAGCCAATAATCAGTAAAACCGGATTACAAATTTAGAGAACAGTGAACTAAAACAGTATAGTATATGTAATACAACAGTGTACTACGAACAGTGCAACAGAGCCTTAGTTGGATATAAGGCCACAAATATTTTTTCTCTCTCTTCTTATCTAGGTGGACCATTTGATTTGATGTCCAGAAGAATAATTGCAGCAAACAGCCAAGTTCTAGCAGAGAGGATAGCCAAAGAGCTTCAGATTATCCCTTTTCAAAGGGATGATGCAGCAAATTAAATGTTATCCTTTCACCTTACCTGTGACAGGGAGTTGGTCTGTGCCCATAAAAATAGCTTTCCTTGCAAAGGACACAGTTTTGCACTTGAGTAGAATAGCAATCGACTATAAGTTTGGTTTGAACATTTCAAAGCCTGATACTTGAATTCCTCTTCTCTTCTCCTCTTTTTTCCCCCACCCTCCAGACTTCACATGCATTCTGGATCTTAACCGTTGTCCATTATAGAAAGCATTTAAAAAATATCACTAAGTGTAATTGTGATGCTGGCTAGAAGTGAGGTGGATATGACCTGCTGCGTTTTCGGACATAATATGTATAGCACTCACGTAATTAATAGTGAATAAGAGGTTCTTCATTTCTGGACAATGTTCTACAATTCAAGACTACGCTGATAGCAATGTGTGGAACTTGGACCACAGAGAAGGTTCCAAGATATTGGTGGAAAGTTTCTCAAGAATAAATGAGATGTTCTGTGTAGTAGGAAGACTAGCTACACATTACCTCAGAAAAGAACAATCCCAACTCTGTGTTTTACTGATACAAACAGCAATGCAAGAGAGGGTAATATTAGCCATTGAGAATTGGCCTGTAGGTGGAAGAAGTGCTTAACCCCTCTCTTGCCCAGTAATTCTCCCCTGTAAATGTTTTTCCCATCCCCTCAGGTGTCTTACCTTTCAGTGTTGAAGGCCAGGTGGAAGCTCCCACCTGCCAAGTTCCTTGGAAGATGTCCTTCAGCTTACATCTCTCCATTAAGGCTAAAAATTGCTTAACTCTGGCTAGAGCATCATCTCCATTGGTTTTATTTGCAGCATTTACCTTTTTTAAAAAAAAATTGCTTCTTCGTAGTGGCTTAGCAGTATTTCTAAAAGGGTACTGAAGGATTGACTGCTTACCTAGACCCAAGAAGAAAAATAAAATATAAATGCAAGTGCTGAATTATTAACCAGTGTGGTGATATTCAGCCAAAATTCACCATATAAACTCTCAGCACACCTATCAGCAGCATTCAAGAAGACACCTAACCGGGTTTTGACACTGAAATGTCCTCCAGTAGCACTGCAATCCTTCACACAGTTACTCCAATTTAAGTCTGCTTTCATTGGTCTTTAACTGGAGGGTCACACAATCAGACACTTTATCAGAAGCTTCCCCCCCCCCTCCGAATTTGTTTCTGGTATGAAAAAAACGGCAAATTGATGGGGGTGGGTTTGTTCTTTTGGTTGCAGAGTTTGATCATCCTTCCTGCACATGGAATAGGTAGATTGGGCCCTGCAGATCTGTTCTGCTAATGGTTGTGCTCTCCTCTGGTGCAAGGAACTTTCCGCTGATGTGGGAGGCTCACCTCTTGTATCAACAGAAGGCTTCTTGTGCAGAGGGATCCCATGGAGTATTTCTTGTAAATCTTCTGTGACAGATACGAGGTTGGATCTCCAGAGTGTTTACATGGACCAAAGGGTTTCTACCCACAGAAATTCTCACCTCCTACTGTAGGATGCCCCTTCTGGGGGTGCTCCAGCATCAAGGAGCAGCATTTGAGGATGCGGGGGCGGGGAGATCACCCTCTGTGGGTAGAAATCCTTCTCACAGAAACGTTCTGGTGGATCCAAGTTGCTGTGGACCCATTTGTGGGCTAAAGCTATGAAGTGAGTTCGGGCCATGAAGGACTGCTATATTGTGTTTAAGTTGCCACAACGGTTGGTTGTTCGTTTTCTAGATATATACTGTACATGGATGTCTTATTTGGTGTAAAAATTATGCCATTGAATTATACATTGAAGGTTTGACTGTAGAGCGTTTTGCACTATTCAGTAAGATTGAGTTGAATCATATATATTTAGATGGGTGGATCTTTGCCATCAGAGTGTTTTCAGTGTCCCATCTGCAGCCATATTTTTGTCACAAAACAGTTTGTGTTATTATGATTCCTCTGATGACTGTGATTGCCTGCATGCACATCAAGAACAATCTGTTGACAAAACTGGTGTATCCGTAATATTACAACACATCCTTTGTGTACTAGTCTGCTGGCCTTTGTGTTGGATCTTCCATGGCATTTCAGGCTCAGCCATAGCCATGCCATCACTGCAAACGTACACTTTCCTCTACAGATTATAATAATGGGTTGTTGAATTAAATGTAACCAATAAGGTTAATCTTTAAAGTTTCATTTCTTTAAAATTACATGGCTGTAAATATTAGTTACATTTTTTGTAGCCCAAGGCTGAGGTTCTTGCTATATTAACTTGAGCAGCAAATGCATCCTTGGAGCTGAGTAATGGTGGAAGTCTAGCAGTTCAATTCTGTGAACCTCTGGGTTGTGACAGATTTAGCACCAGTGCTAGGGGATTGCTGCATGAAGTGCCAAAAGCCACAGAACCTATTCTAAATGTCAATCAAATTTTCTCTAGACCAGGGGTGGCCAAACTGCAGCTTGGGAGCCACATGCAGCTCTTTCACACATATTGTGCGGCACCTGTCAGGGTGGCTGGGGAAGGGGAGTCATGCCTCTCTAGCCGGTCTTCCCTTCCCTAGCCAGTGTTCCCCTCCCTGAATAGGCTTGAGTGGGGGGGGGGGGACAGAGGAAGAAAGCAACTTTAAATCCCCCCCCCCGCCCAGCTTGGAGAAAGCATTTATCTCTTTAAATATCATTATCAATATCTGTTTTTACTCCTTTTGTTTTTATTTCTTGCTGTGTTAATAAACAAATTTGCATATTTTCCAGTAAAAATGTGTGTAAGATTTGTTCATGTCTTGGGGCTCTTCTATGTGGCTCTTACGTTGGGCAACTTTGGCCACTCCTGCTCTAGACACTGCTTGTGCCTCATCAGCTTTCAGAATTTTACTTTATACTTTACTTCCTAAGTATACCAGGACAAATAGATGGCTTCTGGGTTCCTGTGTGAAACTGTAGGTAAGGGGGCTCCAATGTGAGGCATATTTGTTTTGTAAAATGAAAACTATTCTGGAATGCTCTAAGTATACGCTTAAAATAAAGATTACCTTCAGACTATTGGCCTTGGGAAAGCGTGAATATTTTTTGTCAAACAGTATGTGTGTAGCACTTCCGTTACAAAAGTTAGCAGTCAATGAATATCAAGTGCTTAGCCTGTAAAAAAAAGCAGACACATCACAACTACAGTGGTTTTATGAGAGTCAGTAGAGACAGCCAGTGTGGTATAGCAGTTAGAGTGTGAGATTAGGATCTGGTCCCCATTGTCTTATCCCTTATCGGAGGATCAGGGCCCATCACTCTGTCATGTAGCCAAACCTACATCGCTGGGTTGCTGTAAGGAGGGGGGGGGAACAGACACCACTGGCTTCCTTGGAGCAAAGGTGAGATAAAGATGTACTGTAAATGGGTAAAACTATATCCAGTACTAGCAGCCTGCCTGCCATCCACTTCCCCTGTAACAGGCAAAGGAGTTGTGTCACACCCAGTATACTGTCCAGTGCAGAGCGTTGGTCTAGGCCTTGGGGAGACCTGGATTCAAATCCCCATTCAGCCCAGTTCAATAATCTAACCTATTTTATAAGGTGGTTGTGAGGATTATACGGAGATTGGAGAAGAGGAGAAGCTCTCTGAGCTCCTGGGAGGAGGGACAGGAGAAAAATGTAAGAAATCCTTGTATTTTAAAAAGGGAAATTTGTGCTGGAGATGTCTTTACTGAAGTTAAACAAATTTGTTTAAAACCACAGTGAAGAAAAAGATAAAATGGGGAATGTGAGTGAGAGAATGGAGGGGAAGAGAGAACATCTGTACTTGTGTGGATTATGTTTTTCAAAAAACAGGTGGACTGGAAGGTGTTTAGATGTTACCTCAAAGCCACTAGAGGGACTCAGTTCACTAGCTGAAAAGTAATACAGTGAGTGCCGTTATACTCTATATATAGGTGTCACCAGGGCTTTTTTTGTAGAAAAAGCTCAGCAGAAAAAGCCCAGCAGGAACTCATTAGCATAATAAGCCACACCCAATAGCAGAAACTAATTAGCATATTAGGACACACCCCAGACAGCACAGCTCATTAGCATTTTAGGACACAGCCCCATGCCTTCCCTTGGCTTGCCTGGGCGCCCCACGGCTGCAGGGAGCTCAGGCAAGCCCCCCCCTTGAAGGGAAGGGAGTTTAAATTGCCTTCCCTTGGCTTGCCTGGGCACCCTGCCACTGCAGGGAGCCTGGGCAAGTTGGCCCTTGGACAGGCACGGGGAGGTATTTAAATTATCCTTCCAGGCCCCCCCTGGCCCACCCGCCTCAGAGTCACAGAGGGATCTCTCTTCAGGCCTTCCCTCTGTAGCCAGGCACACAGGTTTTGGCTGTAGTGGGCATAGCCAACTCTGAAGCCAGCCGGAACTCCGTTCCTGTGCGTTCCTGCCCAAAAATAGCCCTGGGTGTCACTTTGTTATGTTTATAAAACAGAAAAATGTAACTTGCAAATTTATTTCCTTGATTCTTCTGCTGTAGAAATTACAAGCAATTAAAGGCTTTCTTTTTGGAATCTGGCATAGTGCCTTCTTTTTTGCTCTTTCTACAAGTCTCAGAAATGATGTTTACAGTACATTAAAGAAATGTGCCCTGAATCCAAGGACACCCTCTTACCCAACAGGCTGTAAGACATATATATAATAGTAAAGTGTGGTCCCCATCTGGCTATCTAAATCTGCAGATCAGGACCATACTGACACTAAGCAGATTTTCCTTCAGATTTGAGGGGGCCTCCCCAGGTTTGCAAAAGAATTTGAAATCTTAAAATACACTGGGGAGTTTAAATTTCACCAAAAATAAAAAAGTTTTGTCTGTACTCGCACAAGACAACACACAACAATGGGGTTGGTGGGAGGAGTGCACTGGATACAGATGGTGGGAACAGAATTCTTCGCTCCTAATTGTCTGTTTCAGCATTGGCCAGTTAGAAGCTGTCAGGAAAGTTTAAAGAGGGCAGCTGAGCGGGTGGCTATGAAGTAGAACCAACCTGCTCAAGCCTCTAATGGCTTTTAATAGACTGGAGGAGAAGATGCTGAAACTGATGTCATGACACTCACATTCCCCTTGAACTAGTCCAGGCTAGCCACATATACGCATCCCAGTGAATGTATATACAATCCAGGTACAGTGCACACTATTTTTCTTTCTATGTGCATTGATTAATTCTTGTGCTACATGCAATACAAGTACAACTGAACAGTGTAAATTAAACCCCAGGTACCAGTTCCTAGTTTTAAAGCATATGCACATTGGCACTTTCTTCCACAGAGATGTACGTACAGCATGTGTGTGTGAGTTCACTGCAATGTGAACAGGTTTCATACAAGCATTTAAGAACTGACTGCTTAAAAGCTACAACAGTGGTTGGAGGGGGGATTAGGATTGAAGGTAAAAAAAATTCCTATAATCCAAACTAATAGAATTTTTCACACTGCAGAGTACCTAAGAGTTTAAAGGATCCTGGAATTGGGCAGGTGTATAAACTGGCAGGAGATGTTCTGGTCCAAGGAGAGGAAGATGAAAAGTATTTCAATTCTCCCCAGCAGGCACCATTCAGGTCTGTGGGGCTACACAAGCACCAAGCTTCAAACCTCAGCAACTAGAGCTATGGGGCTGTGTACTTTGGCCTGCAAAACTTGTGTTCAGGCCTAGGTGGCAGCAGCTCCTCACCTAGCTGTAGGCCTCCGCAGTAGTCATATGCTATTGTTTTGTATTGTAAGGAGAATTTCCCAGTTGTTCTTTTCCCCGTGATTCACAAGTCTTCAGAACAAGATGATAGCAAAATTGGAGGTGAAACGCTTATCAGCAGAGCCATAAGGTAGGCACAATCGCCTCTTGAGAATTTTTAGTGTCTTCCTGAAAGGGTCTGGGATTGAGGCTTTCGCTGCCCTGCAATTCCCTGTGCCCCCGTCACACACACACACATCTGACCTAATCCAGGAGCTTTATCTGCAGTTATTTGATTTCTGAACCAACATTTCATATATATATTTTTTGGCTATGGGGGAGGCCAGATGTTAGAATAAGGACTGCCTGTGCCCCTACCATTGAATCACATTATCAACCATATCTCATCCACACAGGAAATATTATGTTAAAGTTCCAAACAGAGCTAAAGCTGCAAGGTCCAGCCGGAAGAATGGAAATGTCACTCCAGCGAGAGATGCTTCTAACAACCCAAGTTTCCTTATCTAGTAAAGGTAAAGGTTCCCTTGCTCGAAAGCCAGTCGAATCTGACTCTAGGGTTGCGGTGCTCATCTCTGTTTCAAAGCCGAAGAGCCAGCGCTGTCCGAAGATGTTTCTGTGGTCATGTGGCCACAATGACTAAACACCAAGGCGCACGGAACACTGTTACCTTCCCACCGAAGTGGTACCTATTTATCTACTTGCAATTTCTTGCTTTCGAACGGCTAGGTTGGCAGGAGCTGGAACTAGAGACGGGAGCTCACTCCATCTTGCGGCACCCGGGTCTCGAACTGCTGAACTACTGACATTCCACAGCCTGCAGTTCAGCGTCTTAACCACTTGAGCCACCGCAGCTCCTTATCTAGCTGAGACAAAAAGTTCCATCCACATGAGCTTAGAATGATGTGGAAGCTGATTCCCTGTGGTACAATTTCTCTCTGAATGGTGATGGAAAGTGCTGTCAGGGTGCAGACAATGTATGTCAGCCCTGTATTGTTTCCAAGGCAAGAGAGGCACAGATAATGGTTTGCTATTGCCTGCCTCTGCGTAGTAACTCTGGACTTTCTTAGTGTTCTCTCATCCAAGTACTAGCGATGCAGACACTGACAAGATCACGCTAGCCTGGGCCATCCAGTTAGTACATATATGTGAACAGCAGAGCTGTACCAGCAAATCCAGTCACATAGATCCATCTCACTTGATTGTCGCTTGGTCAAAAGAGACAGAATGGTTGTGTGGAAAACACCTACATGATTCTCTTCATCCATGTAGCATGGCAAAGTGATGAGGTGGTTAGAGCATGTTCCTAAATGAAGATTTTTCTCTGGTTTCCTGGAGTAGGCTTAAACAAAGTGTGGCTTGAATCTAGTACAGCGTTTCAATGGGGGAGGGAGATTTCACAGACAAACTTAGATGCTCATTATGGACAGAATATTTGCATATCTTGCCTCATGTACACAAAACAAGCAGCACTCAACCTACAAGTTTCACAAAATCTCTCAATTTCATCTTTCATTACAATAAAAGCCACTTTTTAATCTTGCTAAAATCTAAATGAAGCCCCCGGTAAACTGTCATGTCATGATTTATAGTCTTATAAGCTTTCTCAGAGGAATCAAACTGTGATTTCTTTTATATCTGATTGATGGAAAGCAGCTCCCAGCCCAAGTGACTTGACATTTATCATTTTAATCCTGCCGTACTTGGTACTGTTTGTACCACCTCCCACCTCTCATTTGGCAAAAGGACTTAGTAAAGAGATTAGACACTCAAAAACCTTAGCGATAAATCCAAAAGAAGTC